GTGTGTTATCAACACTGTGAATCCCAGGTGTGTCCAGTACAGGTGGGGTGGCTAGTAGCTGGTGATGATTAGCATGAGTTGTGGCACCTGATGCCTGTCTGCTGCCATTGCTGTGGCTCACAACCAGCCTTGCTGGAAGGTTCTCCACATTCTGACAGCTGACACAGTGACTGACAGGTTGCTTGTGCTCAAGGTACAACCCTTTCTTATAACCTAGCTAATATATCCTCTATAATGCTAAAGTCAGTTTTTTTCTATCTGGGTCCAGGGCCAGTGCAAAGTATGTTCCTTTTTTTTTTTTTTTTCTATTCCACACTTGTGTTCTTTTTTTGCACACATATGTGTCAGGTGTCTCTTGTTTGTTTCTTTCAGATGTCTCTTGTTTGTTTCTTTCTTCTTGGTACTCCAATATGGCTTCCTTAGGTCTCCTGTTAAAGGATATACACTGTTCTTCTGCATTTTGATAGTTCATGATAAATGGTGCTTGGTCTGCTACCATGTCTATTGCATCTAAGCAACTGGATAGTTCTGTTCAACTTTCAAAAGACCTGCAGTCAGCACTTGACAAGGGAGATGGAACAGAAGTGTAAAAAGAGCTGCCTTTAATTTGCTTTCTATGTAGCCTTTTGTATATTTTTCTTTGGTTTTTTTTTTTTTTTGGTGCAACTGAACTATTATAGATACATGAAAAAGTGGTTTATGTAAACTGAACAAGTAAACAGAAATTTCCCTGTAGGCCCCGTTTTTTCTTCAGATTTCAATTAGTCGTTTTTCTGGGTTTGGAATTATTATTTCTTTTCATCTGTTGTTAATAGTGGGTATTTCAGGAATTCAACTTTTGCATCTTGATCTTCCTATTGTTTTTTTATGCTCATCATGAACTTCTTTCCCAAGGCACAAGTGTTAATTTTCAAACACAGAGCTTTTATTCTATAAATGATTCCCCAGTTACGTGATTAAACAGCCGTTAACTAAGACCTAATGGTTTAACCACATATTACCTTTTTGTATTTTCCGCTGGGAGATGATGCTTCATTTTCTTTTCTTCTATTGCAAACTTAACAACTTCCAATATTTCTGATATTTGTCCTCTTCAAGCTGCAGTCCTACATGGAAAAGAAAAGGACTGTATACTAAAATGCAACTAGTAACATTAATAACTAAAAGATGAAATATCTGAAAAGGATATTACAATTATTCCTAAATGAGGCACTATAAAACTAAAATACGCCTAAAATAGTGCTTAACCCCTCTCCTTCCAAACTCCTGGCTTGTTTTAAGACATGTGTTGTGACTACCATAAAAGTGCCTTCTAACAATGCTGGGATATAAGAAAAAAAACCAGGCCACATAAAAATATTTTATTCGTGGCTTCAATTTAAACTTAGCTTAATTTTTTAGATATCTCTTCAATTTTTTTTTCTTCTTCTGTTAAAGATTTGCCATTTATTTTTACTTAGACAAATGTCTAAGTCTCTAATGATCAAAAAAAAAAGTCCAGAATTTGTCCAAGGAAAAGCCAAACCAAACCTGACACAGATAATAAACTTAATAAAACCCTATGTTTTCAATTACATTTTCCAGTTTTGTCTGGAAGTTTTCAAAAATTTAATTGCAACTTATCGTATTTTTTGTATATCACAAGAAGATTAAATTCCTTGATCTGTCATGATCCTTGGCTTTTGCAGTATATTTTAGTACTCTTTGGTCCACCTTCTAACTTTTTCAGTCTGTCTTCTTCTATATATTTTCATGTGTATGCATACATTTTCATTTTATGCAGAATCTTGACATTATTGATTATGTTGGCTGTGAGTACAGTATGAAAAGTGCTGTCCAAGTGCCTGTAGGTGCTGTTTTTATAGGATATTCATATTCCTTTATCAAAACATATAAGGCACTAGGCTTCAAAAACTTCTGTGTAATGATCCTCAATTGCTGTTAAACCTATACAGATAGTTATATAGTAAAAGCATACTGCATTTGTTGTAAAAGCAGTGAATGTAGTAGCTTCTTTTTCTCTTCAGTTCATTTCCTCAAGAATTATCCCCATGAGCAATATAAAATTATAACTTGTAAAGTATAAGGTGCATTATAAATCATGTTCTTCCCACACGTCCCAAATTATTACAAATATTTGAATGATAGAACTACTCAAAAACTCATGAAAAAAGGCAATATGAGTAGAGTAAGCATAATGTTTAAAATAACTTCGTCTTTTAAATAAATATAGATACTCATCTAAAAGGTGTTGAACTATGGATTACAGTCAAGGGAAAATCTTTGCCACTGGTCTGAAGCTTTCAAGAAAAATGTAGCAAAACTAGCTATCATCATTATTTCTTCCCTTTATATGTTAACCTTATTCCCTGTTGTATACTAAACTTTTAGTATTAAGTTCATAATATAAGTTAAGGTCTCAGAGTGAAGTAATCTGGAAAGAAGGAGCATTACTTCCTTTGATGGTAAGAAAGACAACTATACCCAACAACTGGAACAAGTTTTCTTTCACATAGAAACAGCTCATTTCTTTCATGCTACAAGGCAATCTACAGTACTCTGTTACAAGGTGAACAAAAGTCCATATTTTGTGGAAGACAACAAAGTTTGTTATGTCCCTGTTATGTGATAAATAGTATACCAAAATAATTGTATAAATTTTATATCATGTATTTAAAATGTCACCTTAGTCACTTATTCAAAGTTACAAAATGATGTGTTTTAACACAAGTGATACCTTATTCATAGTTCATTCTGAAATTGCTTGTCACTGAATACCTAGTGCACTTCCTCTTTGATTATCTTCTGAAATATATTAACTTGGTTTTCATGCATGAAAGATAAATCTGAATCCATTTGTAGGTATTGGCAATTTTGTACTGGTACTGCAAGTCTTTCTTTCATTTAAAAGTTGTGCTTTGTACACACCATATATACACATATAAATGGAGACAACTATTTCCATTTACATGTGGAAAGATCCTTTTGTATTCTGCTTATCATGACAACCCAAGTTCTGTCTGCGAAAGTGGATACAGAACCAAAACCAGCTATAGAATTCTATTAATTTAATTTGAACCATTAAACAGTTTGCAATAACTTTCCCCTGCCAAACTTACTCATATTTGTCATGTCTAAACTGTGGACATAGGCATAAACTGTGGACTTTCTGCCAATGTTCATCACATAAACACTCTGTTCATATAAGACAATTCATGTGATTGCAGAAAAGTCTACCCAGTTCTAGTACAACATCATGTGATTTTACTTCCTCTGCTGAGCAGTCCTGAACTGCAGCTGTGGATTTACTATACTGGCTTAAAGATCTTTACAAGCACACAGGCTAATTGTCAGGAAAAGCAACATGATGATGGATGTCAGTATAAATCCCCCAAATAGATACCGTCAGACTCAGCAGAAAAATGACTCCAGGTATTTCAGTAATCCTGTAAGCCACATTGTTACTTTCATATGTGGAGCTAACAATTATATGCTGACTTGACAGTACCAGACGTTTAGTAAAATATCTAGGTATATGCTACTGGAAAGGAAGAATTATTGGTGATTTGCACGTTATCTCATCTTTTGCAAAAGTATTTGTACATCATAGGATTAAAAATAGTGTGAAAATATTTGTATATTAGAGAAGCAATTTCTATTGATAAGGAAAATTGGACACTGTAATAGGTTGCCTGAAGAAATAACATATTAGGAACCTAATCCTTGCCAATTGAAACTTTTAAGATTGTGTTAAATACAGTTAATAATGCCTTACATATTTAATTGTTCTTTGGTAAAGGACAAGATGGGCTACAGTCACACCCACACCCACCATCAAAAGCCTCTTTCAATTATACTAGTTTAGTAGAACATTCTTCCTTTATAATCAGGATATTGAGGTTAGCCTTGATCCCCTTACTCTCCGCAGGTCAATTTCAGTACTGCCCTTGTAGTATTCTAGGACCAGACATTAAAAAGATGTCTTACAAAAATCTGGAGTGTATTCTCTCAGTGGTGTAGACACTTGTTTAACTGTTAACCAGCTCTGAAAAAAACATGAAAGAAAATGTGAAAAGTACAGTGATGTGATTTTTGACTTTGTAAGGATTGGAGGAGGGGATGGAATTTGCCACATAAAGTTTGGAAGACTTGACTTTTGACATCTTGGATTGTTTTAATGCAGCAGATTGTCTGACACTGCAGAGGTCAATGTTAAACTAAATTTATGAAACTAAATTTATGTTGTGGTCCTTCGCTGTGGCTAGGGTGTCTCTCCCTGTTGGTTCTTGCATCAACTTTAAGGTTACCCGAAGGATCATGCAGACATCCTGCCATCTGCGGGTCAAGGGAACACAGCATACACAGTATGGATGCTCCCAGTGATGCAGTTTATTTTCAACCCCTAAACTTTATAGGAAACCCACCCCCCAGTCCTGCCAGTCACTGTGTGGTCACAGTGACATCCTCTTGCTCCTCCTCTTCTTAACCTTGCGGTTACCGCCCATTTGGTTTCTACACTTCTTACATCCTACATTTCCCCCTCCCTAAGTTCTATTTTATTTTGTGCTACAAATTAATATATCTAATGCATTTTTTAGCTTATAACAGTCATGTTACAGCTCGTAACAATAGTGAGAATATGCATGCAATAACAAGGATAAAGCATTAATATAACAATACCTGCAATTAGAATTACCCACAACCCAAATCGCAGATTAGTTTTGTAACTCTGGACGAATCCATTTTGTGGGAACCCAGCGTACCTCTCCGTCTTTCTCTGCCCAGGCATAACCTCTCCCTAAGCAAACAAGATGGAACCCTTTCTCCCACTGCCCGGTGTGCCCCCGCACTTGCGCTGGTGGCTTTATCCATCTCTGTAACTCTTCTGGTGTCACCTGCCAATGTAATTGTGATGCCACCTGTCCTTGTGCCCCTCTGGCCAAATGATTTAATATATACAGTGACTTTGCTAATACCTCATGTTGCTGGTTCACTGGGAACCCTAATTCCCCCTCCCTACGCCGATCTAATTGCTGCTTCAAAGTACGGTGAGCCCGCTCGATGATAGCTTGACCAGTACTGTTAAGCGAAATGCCATGCTTCAACTGGATATGCCATTGCTCACAAAAGGTCCGTGTTCACTTTATAATTTGGTCCATTGTCCGTCTTGATGATGGCTGGACACCCCAGCGTAGCAATACACTGCAACCAGTGCTTAACAGTAGCATTTGCGTTACTGTGTCTGCTCGACGTGGCTAATATCTACCCACTACATGTGTCAATGGTAACATGTAAATACTTCTGAGGGCTAAAGGGAGTAACATCTGACTGCCAAACTTGATTTGGCAACAGACCCCGAGGGTTCACCTCAGCATCCCAGAGGGCCTGACCCTCACATTGAGGACAAGCAGCGACTACTGCCTGTGCATCTGCCATGGACAGGGTAAACTTAACCCGCAAAACGCGAACACTGCAATGCAAAAACTGATGCCACTCACAAGCTGCTGTAAGAGGCGATAACACAACCATCGCCTGCTTCGCAGCTTGATCAGCCAGAGAATTCCCTTCAGTGCGAGCACCTGGAATACTGGTGTGACTGTTGATATGGCAAACGTAGCTCAGTGCTCGCCTTTCCTTCAGAGCATTAAGCAAAAGACAAGAAATACTAGTATGAGTGGTGATAGCAGTGGCACACTGAAAAACCAATCACGCCACAAATTGAGAATCTGTGACAATATTCAAAGGCTCGTCTGCCCAGCGCTGAAGGGCTAAACATACTGCATTGGCTTCCAAGGCCTGCAATGAACAGGAATCGTCTTGACGTACCACCTTGTGCCACTGTGACCCCTCCTTCCATACCACTGCATAAGCATGTGTCTTAGAAGAGGCATTGGTGAATATGGTACAACCTGCCACAGGACGATCACTGACCAGAACGCTAGGTTGGTCTTCTGTTCCACTATATACAGCCAATGACGTGCTAAGGAGCACTAGACCTCCCAGAATATTCACTCCAAGAAATTCCAGTCAGGGTGTGCCAATAGAATGTCATCCATGTAATGGATAATGTAACTATCAGGGTACCTTTGCGGACTGGTGCTATCGCGCGTGCCACCACCATCTGGCAGATGGCGGGCGAGTTTTTCATTCCTTGCAGCAATACGGTCCACTGGTATCGCTTAGATGGAGCACAAAAGTT